AGAGGGATCTTGGAGGGAGGGTTTATTCCAACATCGCTGATGGATCTTTGGTTTGCACTGGTCCTCCTCCTCCTCCTCCTCCTCCTTCTCCTCCTACTCCTCCTCCTTCTCCTCCTCCTCCCCCCCGCCTCCTCCTCCTCCTCCTCCTCCTCCTCCTCCTCCTCCTCCTCCTCCTCCTCCTCCTCCTCCTCCTCCCCCTCCTCCTCCTCCTCCTCCTCCTCCTCCTCCTCCTCCTCCTCCTCCTCCTCCTCCTCCTCCTCCGCGCCGCCCTGCGGGCGAGGACCCTCGGAAGCGGCCTTGGGCCGCCGGGGGGGGAAAAGCTGCCCGCCACTCGCCGCGGTGCTCGGAGGCTCTTTGCTGCCGCCGCTGGCTCTCGGCGGCCCGCTCGTCGCGGCGTGCCTTCCAGCAAGCAGCCCCGCCTCGCCCTTGCGGGCATGCCCGGGTCGTCCCAGCCGGCTTCCAGAGTCGACTGGACGTAAGAGTGACCTTTCGCCGGAGTGACCTTGGTGCGGGCGCAGATGGGTCCCCAGATGGCGGAAAACGAAGCAGCAGCAGCTGCTCGCGCGCCCCCCCGTGGCCCCCCAAAAGTCGCGCAGCCAAGGTCACTCTTACCCAGGGTCACTCTTGCGTATAGCCGACAGAGGCCCGAGCCGTGGCCCGATGGCCACCGGGAGGAGGGGGCTCAGACCCCCGTCGGTGTACGGTCAGGAGCGTTCGCCTGGCACGTCGCGCCGCCCGTGCTGGCCCACCGCGCTTCGGCGCGGCACGCTGGGCCCGTCCCGGTCCCCGGGCGTGGACGGTCCGAGCGCCGCCCAGGTCCGCCCCGTCCACGAAGCAGAGCGGCACGCTCTCCGCTGGCCAAGGCACGGCGTGTCGCGGGGGCCGCCGCCGAGGCGCGCTGAGCGAAAGTTTCTGGTCGTGCTTGGGTGACCGCGGGGGGGTGCTAAGGGGAGAGGGGGGGTGAGAAGGGGGCTCCGCCCACTCAGACCTGATCCGGCCCCATAAACCACCTGTCTTGGCATCGCTCGGACGTGTGCATTTTTCCTTCGGCGGGGGCCATCGAGGAGCATCCTTGATCATTTGGCGAAAAAGCCACGCACGGAACCGAAAAAAAACAGGGAATGGACGTCCGAGCGATGGCCAGCCTGTGCAACCTGTACTTATACGGGAGGGTCGGCCAGATGTAACCCACCTTGGCATCCACTTCCAACCCGCTGTCCCCTTGGTCAAGCAGTGGCGAGGCGTCCCGCTGGCACATAAGCCCACCAAAGAATGTTCTAAGAACCTTTGGTGGTCTGCACGGGATGTTCTTAGAACATTTCTGGCTGGGACTGTCTTCTTTTACCACATCGGGCTTCTGTTCGAAGAACCTTGCTTTGGTCCTTAGAGCACACTCGTGGGTTCTAGGAACACCTCGTGGTAGGCCCACAGGAGTGCTGGGACGGTCGGCCCCGGCTCAACCTAGCAGCCGCCGAGGTCATCCAAGTGGGCTCGACGGGTCTCAAGGTGGGCGAGCGCACGCGCTCGCCCCGGGCGGCTCCCGCGGTGCGTCCTGCGGCGGCCCTCGCCAGCTCCTGCAGCCACGGGCCTGACGTGCGCTTCACTGTGCACACCTCCCTGCCCCCTCAGGGGGGCAGCGACAGGGTGGGGCACTGGCAGGAGGGGAAAAAGCACACAGACACCATTAGTCGTCGACTCTCGGGCAACTATGGGAAACTGTGGGAAGGGGGGGGGGAAGACGAAGACCTAGGAAATATGGGAAAATCATGCGAATCCTGGGATTTGTGTCTACTTCTTTGTGCGTCCCTGGGCCCCTTTAGATGGGTGGAGGGGGGGAACGCATCGACCCCGAAGCACCCAGTCACCCGCCGACCAGGGCCTGCATGCCCCACGCCGCCCAGGAAGACCGCTGGCTCTCGGTATCGGGGGGCTATCGCCGAGGTGTCGGCGACATGCGATTCCGGGTAACATGCTCCTCGCCCTGAGTTGATCTCCCCCATCGTTGCCCCTCACCCCCCCAAGACTGCCAGCATACAGTCGAGCATCTGATTCAGAAGCCCCCTGCCGAAGATCAGGGCCGGCGTTCCTAAACCAGCTGGTCGCGGAGCTGGCCCTGGTCTCTTGAGCACGTTCGCCCCTCAAGCGTCAACCACAGAAATCGGCACTGCTTGTATAAGAAGCCTCTGGGAGGCTGGCCCAGACTCATCGGTTCTTGACAATACGGCGGGGGCGTTCGTGAAGGAATGTGCCCAAGAGGCTGCAGACCCTGGGCGACTCCTTCTCCGATGACAGCGGAGGTGATGCACATGGTCGATCCACGATTGGAGCTCCACCGGCCTCCAGACCCTGGATCCCTTACCTGAGGGCTCCTTGTCCAACGCCCACACCGTATTTCCTGCTGTGCGTCCACGTCTACCCCCTTCGAAGCTGGGGCCCGCGGCCTCGAGAGGAGGAGGAGGAGGAGGAGGAGGAGGAGGAGGAGGAGGAGGAGGAGGAGGCGGAGGCGGAGGCGGAGGCGGAGGAGGAGGAGGAGGAGGAGGAGGAGGAGGAGGACCCCCTCCCCCTCCAACTTATGGTGGTGGTGGTGGTGGAAAACATGCCCATTACCGAGGGCGGGCGCGTGCCCGGCACCCTCCTCTTCGGCACGCCGCGGGGCGCGGGCTCGAAGCGCCGGCGTCGGCGGGCCGGCGCCCCGCCCGCCCTGTCGCGCTCGCCGTCGGGCAGCACGCGCGAGGGGCATCACTCAGGAGGGGGAAAACACACAGACACAATTCATCGTCGATTCCCCAGGAAATATGGGAAAATCTGGGAAGTGGGGGGGGAGACGAAAACCCGGAACATGTGGG